AGAGAAGGGATATAAAATTTACAGCAAAGACTACCTATATATGAATATGAAATAAAATAAAGTTCAATTATAGACAATGTAATAAGAATTAAATATAAAAATAATAAGAAAAACAGTATTTTGAGGGAAAAAGATTGTACAGTATGATGTTCAATTCATAATTTCATATAGGCTTCTTTCTGGTTGAGCCTACTGTGCAGTGAGTTTTGACACAAAGTGCGGTTATTAAGATCGCCTGTGTGCTCTACCGTTAGAATTGGAAGAAACCGGAGTGGATCTGCTTTGTGAAAAAAGCCCCAATTTCCCCTTTCTTCTCAACCCTAAATTATATTATATTTAATCGTCGGAAAAATTTGACCCTAATTTTCCCAATTCCCTTGTTCTTATACACCTGTATTCTGTTTCTAGTTTTTCTTTCGCTTTTATTGTTGAAACGAGAGACTCTAAAGAAACCCTAGTTTTTTTTTAATTATTTTATTTTTTTGGGGGGGGTGGGGGATTAAATTTTCAAATGGATGCGAAGGATATTTTGGGATTATCCAAAACTGCATTACCAATACAAGAGAAGAAGTCCAAACCTCCTAAAGAAACTCAAAGAAAACCTGATGGAATTTCTCGCGAGGTGTTCACAGCGTTCTTTTACATTTTGTTATGCGCATGTATGGAACTTTTTGGGTGTGATTTTAATTGTGGGAGGTATTGTAGGTTTATGCACTTACGGGCGGATTAGCACCTCTTATGCCTTCTGTTGATGTGAATCAATTGAAACGAAAAGCGCAATCCGAGAATGAGAAGGTTTGTGTGATGTGTATTTTTAAATGCATTCGGGGAATGGTTATTGTTAATTTAATTTTATTTTATTTTTACTGTAGATTACATGGCAATGGCTTCCTTTTACGAATTCTGCTAGGAAAGACAACTTGCAGCTTTACCATTGGGTATGTTTCATGCAATTGTAGGATCATCTCTGGAATTGTTACATATGTAATCCTTAACAATATTTTGAGCTCTTGCATTTATAGGTTAGAGTTGTAAACGGTGTTCCACCTACAGGAGATTATTTGTTTGCAAAGTATAACAAGGTACTCCAACAACACATATCAGCCTATGAGAGGATCATACTTATATTCGTTCAGAATTTGCATCTCATCTCTATTTCTAGTCATTGGAGTATGTTAATTCATTTGGTTTAATGCAGTTCGTTGATGTGATCAAGTACACTGATGAGGAGTATGAGAAGTACCTGGTGGATCCTGTATGTGTTCAGAATTGAAATTTGCTATTATGGTGGTCATGGGATTTCTATTGATTAAATTTTAGAGTGAAATAAAGGACACAGAGAATATGTTTGTGGGATTTATATTGCAACTCGAGAAATACTTTCTGCATGACAACTGCACATGGAAGTGATTTATTCTGTATTGTCACAAACATTTCACTAAATTTGAATTACCATCTGCAGTGAACATGACCCAATACGATAGACCCTGCCGCACTATTTGTAGTAATTGGTCTAGCAATTTTTGACATCCCCACTTTGAAAATGATTTATTTTGGACATGAATTCATAATTGTCACTAGATTTAAAGTAGCATGCGCGGGGATATTGGTCCATACGATCGGTCTCTCAGAATTATTGTACCAAGTGTTCTAGCTTTCTCAGTTTTTTTATCTTATGCTAATCCGTTTCATGTGTCATCACATGTCTCAGGTCCTTACTTCTCTGTTTTCTTTCAATAGGCATGGACCAAAGAAGAGACAGATCGATTGTTTGATATGTGTGAACGGTTTGATCTCCGCTTCATTGTGATTGCATTCTCTGTTTTCTTTCATTAGTCATGGACCAATGAAGAGACAGATCGATTGTTTGATATGTGTGTACAGTATGATCTCCGCTTCATTGTGATTGCGGATAGATTTCCATCTTCAAAAAATGTGGAAGAGCTGAAGAATCGTTTTTACAGTGGTATTACTATCTTGTCTTACTGATTTGTCCCTTCTCTTCTGGATTATCTGAAGTTCATAGTACGCTGCACATATTTAGATGGGTACCCACGTACATATGAGAGAGAGATGAAGTGATGACTTAATAATTTTATTTTTTTTAATCATGTAATATTTGAGAATTTCTGGTATCTTGATTTCGAGTGTGCAGTATCTAGAGCTATCTTGATTGCGAGGGCTCCATCTCCTGGTGATGTTGTTGGGCACCCACTTGTTAAGGTAGGGGCATTACCCCTTTGTACCGCTTTTTTTAATGTATAAGATCTAGAGGGTGTTTGGCAGGGATTAAAATTAGATTTTTAGTGGATTGTGATAGAATTTTTTGAAATGTGTGGTTGAAAAGATGTGGGACCCATTAAAGATGTGGTTAATATTGATTGTTTGACTTTGACTTGGATTAAAATCAGATTTTAATCCGGCCCAAACATGCCCCTAGCTTTTTTTGTGAGAATAAGTTCAGCTTATTAGGCTGGAATTTTCACGTTCTGGCAATATCTCTGATATTATAGATCTCTCAAATAATCCAGGAACCTTATAATGTTTCTCAAGAAATTGAACGAAAGCGTGCATTGTCGATGGTGCTGTCTCACACGAAGCAGCAGGAGCGCAGAGATGTTGAGGTTTGAACTCTGTTTCTGTATCTCCCAGTGACCTAAACAGATGAGAGGTGATAACATATTTGTTTTCCGTTACATGCATGTTTGACTCTCAACTTTTTCTGTTTGTAGGTTCTTGCTGAAGCGAAGAGAATAGCTGAGGCCCGGAAGGCTGCAAAGGTCAGCTCTCCTCCTACCACACACCCATATCCCATCCCCACCTACCCCCAAAAAAAAGGGAAAAAGAAAAGAAATAAAAAAAAATGCCACTTCCTCCAAAAAAAGGAAAAAGAAAAAAATAAAAATAAATCTCACTTCCTCTTCTGTCAAATAATGATAGGCTTATTTTGATGACAATGTGCTCTATTGCGTCTATACAAAAGATAGGCTTATTTTGATGACAATGTGCTCTAGCCTTATAATGAGCATCATTATAAAGAATAGAGTTCTGTAAGTACTTAATCCAGTATGGAAGTGACCTGATGTCTTTCAATATTGCTGAATACAACGTAATCATATTAAGTCTGCACTCACCATCATTTCTTTGTTATTTGTACACGTGTATTTATGTTAATGTATTTTTTTCCCCTGTTCTTCAGGCTGCAGAAGAGCCAGAGCTGTCAGTCACGGCAGACGCTGGTCATGATGCTACTGATAGGGCTGCTGTTGCTGCTGAATCTCTCTCTCCTTCTCCAAGCACTCAGTTTCCTTCTGCTACTGTAGCCAATCCAGTCTCAGAAACTGCTTCAGTTCTGGCTTCTCTTCATGTGGTATGCCAAAAGTCAGATTTATTGTGTAATCTCCATCTTAAACTTCCTCTCTTCTTTCCTCTTGTTCATTTTGGTTTCTGACTGCTTGACAAATTTGTGAACAAGCTACAAGCTTTATGCTTCTTTCTCTTCATTTGTCATGTTTGTGCATTAGTATTCCTCTTTGTACAACTGCTTGTGCATGCATGCTTAGATATAACAATTTTTTTCCGTCATTTTGGTAATTTGTGCTACTCTTGGACCATAACTTTGGCTTTTTCTGTTTACTGATTAACAAATTATGCAGCTGCAAGTGTACTTGAGATCTTATGCACTTGAGCAAATGGTGCAAGCTGCAAGTTCATCAGCAGGACTTCGGACTATAAAACGGGTTGAGCAAACTTTACAAGATCTAGGGGTTTGTATCTACTCCTTGGACTATATTAAATATGATTTTTGTTCGCTTTGCCCTGATAATTGATGTTATATAGGTGATTGGCTTATACCTAAACTTGTTTACTGGAAAAATATCAGTGAGAAATTCTTTAATGGGTTTCGTGTACCTATTACATTATTAAGCATCTCCGTTGAAATATAGTCTCCAGTTGAAGACTTCTTCAGCTTTCATGGATGTTATTTTCAAACATTGGGGAACCAAGGGCGTCGACTGGAGACTTTGTCAGCTTTCATTGATATTTTTTAAAACATGGGGAGCCAAGGGCATGGGAAAGTGAAATCCATGTCTGAGGGAATTGAGTTTTCAAAATTGTAGACTTCTTTAGGAGGAAATGATCCGGCCTAATGATTTTTATATACCTCTTAAATGTGTTTCCTTGGGATGGATGAAGAACCTGTGCACCATTTCACAGGTGAATTTGAAACCAAAGGTTCCCACCAGGGCCGTATGTGCTGAGCATCTTGAACTAAGAAAAGAAATATTGACTCTCTTGAGTCTTCAGAAACAGGTAATTCTTCCTTAGTGTTATCTCAATTATTATCTTTTTCTTCATGAATAGCATTCCAAATTTCTTGGATTTGTTTTTTTGCTTATTCATCAGAAATATTATCTCATTGAGTCGTAATAAGATCATTGAACTTTTATTGTTTCATGTATTTCAAAATTTCTTTAAACTTGAGCATCATTATTCCTGTAGGCCGACCTACTTTTTTAGTTAGTGTGATTAATTATCCTGCCTTTTAGTGTCTTATGCTTATCTTCCAATTCATTTTTTTTGTTTTGTTAGTGTATTAGGTTGTCACTCCTCAATTTGCCGCTGCTTAAGTACACTATGACTGATCTTAGTCGAAATTTGGCGAGTGAAGAAAACGAAGGTGGTTCTTTAGATGTCCAAATTTTGGTTGATTTTAGCCAAACAGGATTTAGGTTGATTTTATATAAGAACGGTTTGATTATCTTTTTGTTTCCATTGTCTTCTTTTCTTCTATGAATAAGCTAACTGGATTTCCGTCCGACCCAAGCTAGTCGAAATAGATGGTTGTAGTTTCTCTCGTAGATACTAACCTTTACAAAGCCTGGGTTCAGTATTTGATTGACGGAAACCAAATTGAAATAACTCATGTTTGTACAATTGTATTGTTCACCGATAGACCACGGTTAAAGACATCTAGAGACTAGATGAATTTTGATCTAAACATTTTACTTTTATTAGATTTTCAGTGTTTTAGTTAACATTCAAGATTGTTTGATTTTCCTGGTTATTCAATGTTTATGATGCAAGATTTTGCTTTGTTAAGATGGGAAAAGTTCCAATATCGTTTCCCAACTTCCAATTAAAATATCGAGTCAGACTTATTTCAATTTGATATCTTTTTCATCTTGCACGTTTCTGTTTATATTATCAGTTGCAATACAAGGAGGCAGAAGGTTCATCATATCGCGATGGTTCATATGCTGAAACTCCTGGTACTCCACCACCTAAGGTTGGTGACAAGTTTTTATTTCCCCATAAATCATGGTAGAACAAAATTTCTTTTCATAAGATTATAACTGCCCGGCCTTTTCTTTAACAGCGTTTGCAGCATGCTGCAGATCTTGATCGAACATTTACTCCAGATCCATTGAGTTATGGAGGTAATAACAAATGCTGGTGGCATTTAATGATGCCTTTAAGTTTGCCTTTTCCTGTTTTTATTGTATTCCCCCCCACCCCCACCGTCCCACCTCAAATACAATAGGCTTTTTATCATGATTTGATTTCAGGGGAAAGAATTGGCAAAAGGGACCAAAAGCGTAAGGTATACTCCTCTCTCAGTTTCTTTTATTTATTTTTTGTCTTTTTCAAATTTTTTTTGGGCAAGTCTACTAATTTTGCATTTATCATGAAATTGGCTCTGAAGGGACCTGGAAGATCAGAAGCTCCATCATCTCCAGCCCAGTCGAAAAGACCCCGAAAGTACAAGGCATCTGATTGATCTTATAGAACTTTTTGTTCCATGCACTCGTGCATTTATTACAGGTATGGAGATTTCACATTTCACTTAAAAAAGTTTATATATTGGTATGTCATGATGCAACACATTTTGTCCCAACTAACACGTCTCTAGGGGTATGATGAGGGAGCTCTGTTTCAGCAGCCAGCTTAATTTCTCTTGCTTGCTTCCTGGAGGAATCGAAGTTAAGTACCTGCCAATATGCAAATCTTAGGAGCATTAACGAGTTTGAGCGACTGATGGTTCTATTCATAAATTTTTGGAAAGTTCCTGAAAAAAGGATGTATTGAACTTGAGTTGTACGGCTTAGTTGGCATTCCTTCTGCAAGCTTTTTCAAATGTAAATAATTTAAGATAGTTTATTTGGCTGTGATAGGGAACCTCAGTGATCATTTGTCCTCGATAGTTCGTTGAATCATGGAAAATTATAATTGAATCTTGTACTTGAGCGCTTTTCTTGAAGTTATTTGATCTTTTGGAAGATATGATCATTAGCCTAATGCAAAGGGAATGGGGAATGTATATACTCCTATTTGTGTCAGTGTTGTTTCTTTGCCAACATCTTGGTTTAATAGGCAGAATGATCCACGATATAAGAATCCCAATAGGATCACCGTGGGCAAATGAACCTACGTGAAAAGAGTCGTGAAATACCACCTCTAAGTTGCCTATTTCAAGATTTGTTTGTAAGAGTAGCAATCTCCATCTGAATGCAAAAAGAGGACTTGGTGATTATTTGTTCATCGGAACTAGAAGTAAAAAAATTTGTGGATGGGGTATGATCTTTTGTGGAATGCCAAGATTGGGTTATTTCTCAGGAACAACGGCTAAAAGATACAGGATTTGGAACTTAAATGTTGATGCTCACAATTTCTAGATATATCTGAAAAAGTATATGAGACATTTTGGTCAGCTTTCCATCACATTTCTTTGACTGAGCTGTATGTATTCCCAATGAAGACTCGTGGCTAAATGATCCGAACTCATATTAGGCCTACCCAGCTGGTTTGACATCTTGATGGACCTTTCCTAGGCTTTTGAGTATGATGTAGTTACATTGTAAGGGGAATAGGCAACAATTATTCAAATTGCAATTAACCCCATATTTTCTTGTTTCCATTGCACCTTCGCTTTTCTGAAACAAACGCGCCAATCAACTTCAAACAAACCCAATTGCCACTCCATGAACAAAGATGCGTTTACTGCGAACGTTAAGCTTTGTCCTTCGCACGTCATCCCGCCATAGTTGTACTTCCTCAACTGTTTCTTTAAACCAAAAGATTAATGGCTACATACGTAACGGAAATTTAAATGAGGCGCGTAAATTGTTCGACCAAAATTCCAACTTAAGAAACGTTATCTCGTGGAACTCAATGATCAATGGATACATCAAAATCCGCCAAATCCAACAAGCCCAGAACCTATTCGACGAAATGCCCCAAAGAGACGTTGTCTCATGGAATACTATGCTTTCAGGATTTCGGGATACACAAAAACCGCAAAAGGCACACCGGCATTTCCTAGAAATGATGAGAAAAGGGCCGAGACCCCAAGAGCTCACCTTTGCTGTACTTATTAGTGCTTTCTTGAATACGGAGTTTGATGTCTTAATCCGACAGCTTCATTGTCTTGTTATATGCTCAGGGCTTAATCTGAATGTGTTTCTTGGGTCTGCTTTAATGAGGGGTTATATTGCTTTTGGTGATTGTGAGGATTTCTGTAGAGTATTTGATGAGATTTTAGAGAAAGATGTGGCTCCCTGGAATGTGTTAATTTTGGGTTATATGGAATTTGGGTTTATAAATAAAGCTCAGAGGGCTTTTGACGTGATGCCTGAGAAAAACGCATATTCTTGGAGTACTCTGATTAATGGGTATGCTAAAAATAAGAAAGTTAATGAAGCGCGGGCAGCTTTTGATAAGCTGAGCAAAAAGGACGTCATTTCATGGACTGCAATGATAAAAGGGTATGTGCAGGGTGAAAAGTTTGTGGAGGCTTTGGAGTTGTTTCTCTTGATGATGAACTCGGGGACTCGACCTAACCATTATACCTTTTCAAGTGTATTAGATGCTTGCGCTGGTTGCTCTTCCCTTGTCATGGGTAATGAAGTTCATACATGTGTCTTAAAGTTTGGAATTCCTCTTGATGTGATTCTAGCAACCTCCCTTGTCGACATGTATGCAAAATGTGGGGACATAGATGCATCGTGTCAGATATTCGAGTCAATGTTGACAAAGAATTTGGTGTCATGGAATTCAGTTATAGGAGGTTATGCAAAACATGGCCTCGCCACAAGAGCATCAGAGGAGTTTGAAAGAATGGTTAATAGTGGTATCAGGCCAGATGAAATTTCATTCATCAATCTTTTGTCAGCCTTCGTGCATGGAGGAATGGTTGAAGAAGGTGAAAAGATTTTTAACTCCATGGGGACAAAGTACGGAATACAAGCAGAGATGGAGCATTATGCTTGTATGGTGGATTTATATGGAAGAGCAGGGCTGCTGGAGAAAGCAGGAAAATTGATGGAGAGTATGCCTTTTGAGCCCGATGTGGTTGTCTGGGGTGCATTGCTTGGAGCCTGTGGTTTACATTCCTCTCTGGATCTTGCTGAGACTGCAGCAAATGGAATATCCAAATTGCAACAAGATCATCCTGCTGTGTGTTCAATGTTGTCCAAGATATATGGTGAAAATGGAGTTTGGGGTAGAGTGAATGAGCTAAAGAAGTTAATGAGAAAAGGGCATGCTAGAAAGCAGAAGGCTGGAAGTTGGATTGAATCTCGGCATGCTTTCATCTGATGAATGTGGTTATGTGCTTCCAAATGCAGCAGTTGAATAAGAACACTTGATAAGCACAACCACTGTGTTTATACACGAGACAGAAAGTTATCGACCAGATGGATTGTTGATTCACTTTTCTCGAACAAATTATCAGTTTGAGACAGAAAAACATGACAGAAAACATTAAGATGTTATGAAAACAAATTATATATACTCATGCCAATTATATAATATAAAATAAATTAATTCTTGAAATGCATTCTTTTTCGAGTCGCCTCATAAGGCCCCCTGGCGTCCCACGTGGCAAGTATGGGCCTTCACTCTGTTTAGCCTTGTCACAGGCGGCTCGCCCTATTTAGAAAGCGCCTTTTTTTTTCGCTTTGTTTAGCCTTATCACATGTTTCAACAGCTCCCACATGCTCAACCTATTTAGTAAGGGACTAGTCTTCGTTTCGTTCAACTTTGTTGACGTCCAAAATTAAGTGGCCAAAATTAGAGCCAACTTAAGATACAAATGATCATCCAAGGGAAACAAGTGGAAGAGGTTCCTATCATCATAAAGCAATAATATTACTTTACAAGTTGTAAGGGATATTCGAAGTATTACAATGAGTTTTCTTGGTGTTTTTTCCTAAGATTTTTTTTGTCCTCTCCTTTTAATTTGCATCCTAGACCCTTTTATAAGAGAAATATACCGATGCCTAGTACTCCTGTCTTGTCAACACAGAAAATCGAGCCGAGCTAGGTCATGCGTTGGCGCAACAGGATTGGAGTCCGAGCTCAATTATGTCNCGCGTTGTTTTACCTTCATTGGAATATAATAGTCCGAGCTTAACGACCTCAGAAGTCGGTGTCAACAGTTACCCCCCAGGTCAGCTCTTATTTAAGTAAGAAACTGACCTTTTATAGGCGTTCTATTATATTCATATTACCCTTCCCCAAACTAACTAAGTGGAATGCTCTAGAGTAGTTGAACTAATTACTAATTTGTATCACATTCATGGCAAATCATTGCCATCAATGGGTGAAAGAATTCTAAGCATGGACTGCAAGTTAGACCCCTTGACAGTTGACAATAGCACAGAAGAAAAAACAATCACACGAATAATGTTACTCAAAAATGGAAAGTATTAAGATTGGCTTCGGTCACCCTCACCTAAGCCAACAAGACCATCCCAGGTGGTTTACTATGAATTTTACTAGCACAAGCTCATATGCTCACACAAACAGAGACGCAGGAGAAAGATGCACGAGATTTTATTACTTCAGTAGCCAACAATAAGTAATTTATAGAATAGAAACCCCACATGCAGAAGGGAAACAACTAGTTCAGAAGTATTTATACAAACTGAAATCAATGTTCAAACACTCAGGTACAATATATGTTTGACTACCCACAAACTCGAGCCGTTTGAAACTCAATTGATCAATCTAGATGCTCTATAACCATCTGCGAGGATCTTCAGGAAGTACTGTCGAGTGTATCCCTTCACTTTATATTCTTGCGCTCCTCCTTCACATTTTTCCCTTTTTTATACAGCTTCTCAAGTTGCCGCTTTGCTTTACAGTTGGGGAAGTTCATCGAATCATAGTAATGTGGGGCTATGTCAACCAACCTGCACATAAATTGAAGAGGGTAAGAATAACTTTTAGAATCTCAGCTTAAGAAATATTTAAGCTGAAAATATATCCACAAAATATGCAATCATAAAAAAACTTCAAAAGTCTCCTTTTGACTAAAGAATCAAACCTAGAAACCTTTATCTTTGCCTGAAGAATTGACAAGTGCTAATTGCAAATAACAAGACAGAATCAGGGCATTTTCTTTTTGTTCCAAAGCGTGCAGACCACCATGTCCAACAACTCCTCCCACGGAGATTCACACCTATAACCACCCAACAATACCTCAACTACAAGGCTACCAGGGCCAACTTTCTCCGTACACCGACTTCCTTAGGAAAAATAAAAAATATCATCACAGTTCCATCGAGCCATAAAAGAACCTGAAAAACAATCAAATGGCAGACAGAAGTTTACCATTCACCATGAATATCGGTTACTGTACGGATGAAATTTCTGCTTGTTAAGACATTCATTGTAGATAAACCACTTTGGCTTATGGTCCAAGCAATTTGAAGTATGCAAGTGAACAACCTGAATGTAAATAATGAACGCATAAAATTAAACCGAACACAAATCATGGTTCAGCATTGAAAACATATTTTATAGGTTGCAACTGAAACAATACACTTTTTGCTGTAATTACATACTTGATTGTCTTTCACAGTCAGATAGTGACCTGTGCGTTCTAGATGGGCAACCTGCATGAAGTATCCAGCTAGCATAACCTTTCCAATGTTGACATAGTAATCACGGTTTTTGAAATATGTGTTGCATAGCTTGAGGTTGAACCTGGCCATATTGCGAGCTAGCTGCTGTCTAACATTATCTGCAAAGTTCAATGCTCTATGATTGACAAAGTTTTCGTAACACCATTGTGGATCCTCCTCTGAAAAAAATAGAAATTGAAAACAGATATTAATACCAACATGATAGATGAAAAGATAGGAAAAAAGATATGAGAGATCAACTATAGAAACTTACTATTTTGTTTGTGCGCGTGATACACATTCAAGAGTGTAAGATGATCCCCATCAATGTGACCAAACCGAGCTTTGGCTTCATCTGCAGCTTTTTTCAGCCTCCCCAGGACGGACAAAACAATTGGGTACTAAAGAAAAAATTGGTTATCCCAGAGGAGCCCACGGAAGAGGTCAGCAGATGCATGGAGGCAAGACACCATAAGAATACTGAGAAACTACAACTATCTGCGTCAGCACTTACTTAGAAATCCTTGGTACATGCCAGGAGGCATGAAACCCAGACTAGAGTTGCTGATGACAACCTAAGCAGACACACAATAACCACATGCATGAGCGCATATGCACTCGTGTATTCAGTTGAATGTCCGGCGTCACAGTGGATAGAAGCATATCTATGTGAGGGAAGTGTGAATGAACTTCACAAATGGTGAAGTACACACTTGAACCAAAGATAACCTATTTATATGTAGAACTGGTGATCTGTGCATACGGTGTTGTGTAGTGGTGATCTGTAGCGGCGATATTGCTGCACAGTGGTGCTGCATAGAGAGGTTGCACTGCAGATCACGCTTGTAGCGGCCTAGATGGTGTATGTAGCGGCGCAGATCGTGGTGATGATGATGATTTTTTTTTTATTTTTTTTTGTTGGATGGGTGTTGGTGGTTTCCAAGTTTTAGTGGTTTTAGGGTGGTGGTTGTTGGTAGTGGTGGTGGTGACGTTGGCTGCGGTGTTTGAAACGATGATTTGTTGTCGGGAGGTGGTGGTGATGGTTTGGCGGTGACGGTTTCGACAGCAATGCAGTTGGTGGCAGTCGTGAGGTGATTGATGCAGGAGGGTCCGACTCAGATGCTGAGTTGTTAGATAACACGTTAATGGCTCTAAAGAATTACGAGTTAGCAGATCGGCATGGTAATTGAGTCGTGTTTCTATAATTTGGCCATAACTTTGGCTATGGTTATCAAAATCGCGATTATGACCACAATTCGGAAAGCTTGTTTAGGCGCGCATGTCGTGGCCACCGAGCTTTGCTCGATGTGTACTGTTTTCATCCTCAAATTCCGCTTTTTTTCCTTTCGAATTGCTATTTTCAGTTAAATTTTACAATTTTTGGTAATATTTCGATTGTATGTTAGGAAATTATTTTTAAACCCGATTTGGGTAGAGANGGTTTTTCCTCGCGGGTATCGGGTTTGTCGGGTTTTTTTTGCTATCCCTAGATTTGGGCTAGATTTTTCGCAAACTATTTATTTTATTTCATATTTTCGTTTGATGTGATTTTTAAAATTTTGCCATTTTTGGTAAAATTCGAATTTTTGCTATAAAGTCTGGTTTGTGGACTTATTTTGATTATTGCATTATATAATAAAATTCTCTGAACTTCAGAAACGTTTTCTCTATATTTTTTTGGTATTAATCTTGTGTTATTCCCTATGAATTTGCTTGTAGAATTAGCCTGCAAAATAATCACTATTCTGCCCGACATCGTGATAGTCACATATGATTTGGTTGATTGTGATCAATAAATTGATTGATGTGTGACCCATATGCAATGTGTGACCAATGAAATAAATAATTTGTGACTAATAAATAATGTGTGATCTAAAAATTTGTTAATTTATAACCAATAATTTGATCATTTGTGACCTAAAAATAATTTGTAACCAATTAATTTGATATTTTATAATCATGAAATAAAGTTGTGTTTCATAAAATTTTTGATTTGTTATCAAAAAATAATATGTAACAAATTAATTTAGTTAAATGTGACTGATATATAAAATTTGTTATTTGTGATTGTGTCGTCTGTAATTGTGATTAATATATAACTATGATCAGAAATTATATAATATTGTGACCCGAATACATTTAATTAATAAAATATTTTTTTAATTAATTATTTAACAAATAAAATTTAAGTTAATATCTGATTTTTGAAAAAGTAATTGAAATACATCATACTTAGGGTCCGTTTGATTGCAAATGTGGAAAATGGGTGGAAAAAAAATATTTTACAGAGAATTGATTTGCCTAAAAGTTGTTTTACTAAGAATTGTAATTAATTGTGTTTGATTGATATAGTTTTTCATGGAAAATCTTGAAAGTTTGGTGTCCGTTTGGCTTCATTTTTTTATGAAAATTATACATTAAAGTGATAATTTTTTCTACCATTGGATCTAAAATTTGTTCCAATTGGAAAAAAATATTAAAAAAAAATTACCATACCGAATACCACTTTGTTTTGCATGAAAATTGTCGATAAAAGTGATAATTTTTTTAACAATTGTATCTAGAATATTTCCCAATTGCAAAAAAAATAAAAAATATGGAAAATGAAAACCCACCTAAAAGGTGGGAAAACAATTTCTCCAATTTCATGGGAAAAGTGCACGTGTGGGTGTATGAGGGAAAAAAATTTCCATGGAAAATTTGTACTATCAAACAAACAAAAAACTAGAGAATGGAAAAAAAATTCCTACTTCCATGAAAAATGAGAGTTATCAAATGGACCCTTAGTGTCTTATTAATTAAATTTTGCCAAGAAAATAAGTAGTAGCCTCAGCCACTCACTGCTCATGTCTGCTCGCTCTGCAATTCCTTTCCTCTTCTTCCATGTTTACTTGCCAGGTCATTTTTTTATTTTTGGGTAATTCTACTTGTACAATATGGCATCCATAATTGATGGCATAATGTACAAGTGGAATTATTTTGCATGAAAATTGTCGATAAAAGTGATAATTTTTTTAACAATTGTATCTAGAATATTTCCCAATTGCAGAAAAAATAAAAAATATGGAAAATGAAAACCCACCTAAAAGGTGGGAAAACAATTTCCCCAATTTCATGGGAAAAGTGCACGTGTGGGTGTATGAGGGAAAAAAATTTCCATGGAAAATTTGTACTATCAAACAAGCAAAAAACTAGAAAATGGAAAAAAAATTCCTACTTCCATGAAAAATGAGGGTTATCAAATGGACCCTTAGTGTCTTATTAATTAAATTTTGCCAAGAAAATAAGTAGTAGCCTCAGCCACTCACTGTTCATGTCTGCTCGTTCTGCAATTCCTTTCCTCTTCTTCCATGTTTACTTGCCAGGTCATTTTTTTATTTTTGGGTAATTTTACTTGTACATTATGACGTCCATAATGGATGGCATAATGTACAAGTGGAATTATCCTATTGGAGGGTGTGTTGGTGGGCCAGCACACCCTCCAATAATGTACTGCCACTTGTACATTATGTCATCCATTATGGATGCCATAATGTACAAGTAGCACAACCCTTTATTTTTTGCTTATTTTTCTTTCTTTTTTCGGTATTTTTATGGGTTTTTCTGCCAGTGCACTTCTTTTCATTATAAGGTTGTGTTTGGTTCACTAATTAGTCCTAGACTGTGTAAAGAATTATAAAATTTGTCTAAGATATAGTGTTAATTTTTTGTTAGAAAGAACGTTTTAAGCTAATTGGTTCAAATGATACGGAGTAAAAAATAGCATTCTTGTAAGAGGAAATTACACGAAATAAGAGTTTTCAAGATTCAATTTCAATTTTCAAATATTAGATTTCACTTTTCAAAAATCAGATATTTCATTTTTAAATATTAATTATACAATTTTCATTTCAAACCCTCATCAATTTCATTTCAAACTAACAAACATTTTCCTCATCTTTTCTTGTCTCTCCGTCTTCTCTCTCATCTCCGTCTTCTCATTCTCTCTTCTCTCCGTCATCACCGGAGGTGACACATCAATTATCGCCGCTGCAACCATAGCAGCGAGCTCGTCTTCTCTCTCCTCACTCTCTTCTCTCCATCTTTTCACTCTCTCTTTTCACTGTCACCACCGGAGGCGACATAGCAAACGTCGTCGCCCCAATCATAGCAGTGAGTGACGACGCCATCCCCATGTTTGCAGATCTAAGAGCGGTGGCTTCATCTCTGGCATTACGACATAACAACTTGGGGTGATTTTCATTCTGCCGTGGTTTTTAGCAGTTGCGGTGTAATAGATCTACTTTGCGATGGTTAGATCTGATTTGTGTTGGTTTTCATGCTGCCACTGTAGTGATGGTGAGGTGTTGCGGTGGTGGGATACTGACGGTGATGGTGAATCTGCTTGGGGTGTAGTGGTAGTGTTGTTGGTGATGATGCTGCTTATGGAGGTTTGAGGTGATTTTGGTGTTGTGGGGAGTTTTTGTCGGTTGTGCAGGTGGAGGTGTGACGACGGTGGTGGATCAGGCGGCGACAGTGACAATGAAGGTGTTGGTGGTAGGAGCTCTAGGGACCTTGGTAGGAGACACCCTTTCGCTAGCTACAGGCGCTACGGTGATGTTGGTGCGGTGGTGATACAAGTCGTGATGTTGGAGCTACAGGTGGTGGGGGATCTGGTACAGTGTTTGGGTGGTGGCTGTTGTACGATGGTTGTGGGTGGGTAGTGGTGTTGGTGGTGATGTTGGCTACGGTATTCGAGACGATGGTTTTGTTGCCGAAGGTGGTGTTGGTGGTTCTGGCGACGATGGTTTGAGTTGTTGCAACGGTGTGGTGGTGGTCACAATTTGGTTGTTGTGTGACCAATAAATTGGTTTGCTGTATGACCAATAAATAATATGTGATCAATAAATACTGTGTGACCTAAAAATTTATTAATTTGTGACTACAAATTTGATGTTTTGTGATCATAAAATAAGTTGTGATTTGTGATCAATAAATAATATGTGATTATTAATTTGATAGATTTGTGACCGATGAATAAATTGTGACATATAATTTTTGATTTGTGACCAATGAACAAATTGTTATAAAATTTTTGAATTGTGGCCGTAAAATAATTTGTGACATATAAAAATTGTGATTTGTGACCAAATTATATGAAATTGCGACATTAATATATTTAATTAATAAAATATATGTTTATTTAATTAATTTATAAATAAAATGAAAAAAAATATTTGAGATTTGAAATTTTAAACTTAATTTCTTAAATTTGAAATGAGTGAAACGTAATCTCTTAGTTATGAAATCTTCTCTTCTTGTAAATGTAAATTGATAAAATTTATTTGCCTTAAATACTATATACCTAGCGGTACGTCCTCTGAGAATATGCATATTTCTGGTATTGTCTGGTCTAATCGGGTGCGTCAAATGTCCTTAACTAATAGGGTGCGATTTCATCTCCTTATTGTTCAAAACTTTAGTGTTGTAATCATGGCACTTGTCTAAACAAACTGTTGTCTGGACACTCGAAGATTGTTTTTTCCTTCATATTCCATTAGGTTTGTGCGGAATATCTTGTCCCGTCATTTTGCTATTAGGCCGTGTTCGATAGGTCATATTTTTCGAGAAAGTAGAAAAATATTTTTCACTTTTCATTTTTTGACTGTTTGATAGACGAAATTTTCTACGAAAAATATTTTCCGAATTTTCCTCACACGTGTGTGTTTTTCCTGTTTTTGATGAAAATGTTTTCCCGCATTTTTGGTGAGAAAATATTTTCTCGGCTGGCTGGAAATTTTTTTTTTTTTTTTTTGGACAATGGAAACAAATGTCATAATCAATGATAAAAAAAAAAAAACTTCACTTTAATGGACAATTTTCATGTAAAACAAAGTCAAACAAACACTAAACTTTGATAAAAAAATTATTTTTTAGGAAACAATTTTTTCCTTTTTTTTTTACTCTTTGGCAATGGAAACAAATTTTATAACTAATTGTGAAAAAAAATATCACTTTAATGGACAATTTTCATGTAAAATAAAGCCAAACGAATAAAAAATTTAAAAATTTTCCGAGCGAAAAATTATACCAATCAAACACACTTGAAATCATTTTCCCTGCAAAATATTTTCTTAGTAAATCTTTTCTCTGTAAAACATTTTCTTTCCACCCATTTTCCACCGTTACAATCAAACGCACCCTTAAAGTTATGAGTTAGAAACTCTCTTTTCTCCAGAAGCTGTGCTGTGCATCAGACTCTGCAATGCATCTTGTAAATTCCGCTATTTGAGTATTTTCCAGATGTTTCCTTTTCCCTTTTTTGCCCCTCTGAAATAACTCCCACTGTCATGTATGGTAACAGACTGTAACTCTCTATTTGCAAGTGGTGCATGTCTACTACTGTGAAATTTATGTTGGTAGTTCTTATTTCTCAGAATCATAATTGAATTATTTCTCCTTGAAATTGCATTTTCCAGTGAATTTATGGGTTTGATGTCGTGTTCGAGCTGCAGCCTCAATTACAAATGTGGGTTATTTTGATACATTGTGCTCAAGACATAAAAATTCAAATAGGCAGTGAGCAAATCTATTATACGAGCTGTCGAATTTCAATGTAAGTATTTTCTTTCTCAGGCTTTTTTCATATTCAAATATGAAGACCTGTAAATAAAAGCTTGTCCCTTGTTCGCTATTGAATTGATCCCTCTCAAAAGTATTCAGGGTTGCAATTCATGATATGCCATCACCTATTCTCGCAATCATTTTCTTTTCATCATTGATTTTTCATAACCTTGTCCCTTTCGGTCCATGTATTTCGCCATCACACGTTAGGATTCAATGAATGTAACCACACGAGTACATTTTTCACGTGCAATTGAAAGCGGAAAATGAACAGTTAACAATTATAGAGAACAAAAGTGGGTCATTCTTTTAGGTTTCCCTACAATGGATGTGTACGCATGCTCGAAGATTTAGCCCCATCTATTACTCTCCATAAAGAATTCATAGGCAAAAAGAATCCCCATATGCCGAATGATGCTATTCTTTTAGGTTTCCCCACAATGGCTTACTTGTTAAAATCTTGTTTATTGACATTATCTTGTGTTTTTGCAAAAATATATATATACACACTAAATGCACATTCCTTTAACAACCAAAAGAAAATAAATGTATAGTTTCATGAATAAGTCTTAATGTACACTCTTGTGTACATTAAGACTTACACTCCTCTCACAATGGAGTGTGGGGTCTACGATTTTTTAAATTACGGGCCCCCCACCATTGTGAGAGGAGTGTAATGCATGATGTACACCCAAGAGTGTACATCAAGCATCTCTCTAGTTTCATATCGAGTCGAAACTAGATTACGGGAGCCTGGGCACGTGGCGACTGGACATTATAACTCATGCCCACCGTGGATCATTTCAGTTCAAATCCTATGGTCACTGATAAAGGCAGTTGAAAAACAAGTATAAAATGAAAAAAATTAAGACCTTGAATGATAATCACTAAGGTTTACCAATTCTTCTCTGTCTGACGCTGGAAACTGGAACATTGTTACAAAGTGCATACCAGCAACATTGGAGGTTCATTAAATCACAACTCCTTAATTTATATACTCTGTCGGTCTGAGATAAGCATAAAAAAATTAAAATAAACTGGATAAGCATTCATTACTCTTCCTTCCTAACAATGGATGATGGCAAAATGTCTTGAAGAAGTCCGATGTCCGTTAGTAAAGTGTAAGGATAGTGTTCCATAGAACCACCATTCACTGCCGTCGCATAATTGTAATAGGATAGTGGAGTTAAAACCGTTTGTGCAGGCGGTGAGAATGTAGTGGTTCCACCGGAAAAGAAGGCAGAGCCAGAAGCAAGTGCAGCAGCGGGGTATGGCCGGGCTGGTACAGGGCTTGGATGAGTGTGTTGGCCTTCATATGTAGTCACCACTGTGCTTGGATCATGGTAAGATCTCTCCACTCTTTTCTTAACATTACATGAAGCAGTGGTGCACCTATAGTAGCCCCTAAAACAATGTCAAAACCCGTCAGAAATAAATCAAATATATGGACGATTTTCATCTAGCAGCTGAATTACAATGGAATATATAGACGACGAAGTAAATGCCTGAGTTTAAAAGTACGTACCTAGGAAATGGGCTGTTTTTCACGGCTTTTTGGCCGTACTTTCTCCATCTGTACCCATCTTCCAGATGATCCACCTCGCTCTTTGTCATAAAAGCAAACATTGGCTCTCTCTGTCTTTTTTTATTGGGCTTTAACCGGGACATTTTGCAAAATGACCTATGAATAGTGGCTTTTTAAGTTTTTTGTTAAAAAGTCAGTTTTACCCTTAATGAAATGGGTCATTTATTGCAGATCAAGTCCTCAATCCTAATAATTTTTTCGAAATTAGTTTTATTCTTGTTTTTATTCATCATCACTAGACGTTTCTTCTAAATCTGATTTTTCTTCAAATATTTCTTCATTTACTTCTCTTTCTTCAATATCAACTTCTTCACATTCATC